ATTGACCCAGGACAGCCTTTCGAAATCTGCTTGCTGCAGACCAGATGTCAGCCCACGGCGGTGATTTGGCAAAAGGGACCACTCCTGTGGGTGCACCCTAAGGTCTCACCTGCCAAGGTCATTGAACACTACCCGGAATCAGTTGCTTCTCTGGCATTGGAGGCGCACAGTAGAGCGATCCAACATCTTGGTTCCCCGCCTTATGCCATTCGGGTGCCCTATACTGCTTCTCAGATAAAGACCCTGACCGCCTGCCTGGATACTTGGACCATCTTGAGATGCGTGTTCCCCGGGGATATAGATAATCAATTTCCTAAGGACCCCATACTACAGTTTGTTACTCAACATCCGGTGATATTCCCAAAGATCACCGCCTCCGCACCTCTTGCTCATGCAACAACTATCTATACTGATGGGTCGAAAACCGGGATAGGGGCCTATGTAGTCTCAGGCAAGTCTCCGGTTACCATACAGTTTGAACCAGATCAACCACAGGTGGTAGAGTTGTTGATTGTACAAACAGTTCTCCAAAAATTTTCAGAGGCCCTCAATATTGTTTCTGATTCGAAATACGTTGTTAATGCCCTACAGGTCCTGGAAACTGCGGGCCCAATCAAGCCAACCTCTAAAGTAACAAACTTGTTCTTATCTATCCAGGCATTGCTCACGAGTAGACACCATAAAGTGTTTATCACTCATATAAGAGCACATACGCACCTACCGGGGCCCATGGTGCAGAGCAATGCGGCCGCGGATGCGGCTACTCGCCCGCTATGGATTCTCAATATACTGTCCCCACTGGAACAAGCCCGTCAATTTCATGACAAATTTCATGTTAATGCCAGGACTCTTGCCAATACATTCCATATCCCCAGAGCAGATGCACGCGACATTGTGCGACTCTGTGGCTCATGTGACACCCATTCGCCTGTAGTGTCAGTCGGAGTTAACCCTAGGGGGTTGACCCCCGGCGACATTTGGCAGATGGATGTCACTCATGTGGCAGAGTTTGGTTCTCTAAAGTATGTTCATGTCTCCATAGACACCTGCTCTCATATAATCTTTGCGTCAGTGGAAACAGGGGAAAAGGTGTCTAATGTGATTAACCACTGCCTGGCAGCATGGGCAGCCTGGGGAAAACCCAGACATCTCAAAACAGACAATGGCCCAGCATACACTGGGAAATCTTTTGCAAAATTTTGTGAAACCATGCAAGTCCAGTTAAAACATGGAATCCCCTATAACCCACAAGGACAGGGCATCATTGAGAGAGCCCATAAAACCCTCAAAAACATCTTAACAAAACAAAAAGGGGGAATAGGCCACAGCCTGACCCCAAAAGCAAGACTATCCATGGCACTGTTTACATATAATTTTTTGAATCAAAACTGCAATGATCGCTCCCCGGCGATGGAGCATTGTAGCCCTTCTCCCGCCAACAAAGGATGGGTAAAGTGGAAGGATGTCCTAACGGGACAGTGGATGGGCCCGGATCCAGTGGTCAGCTGGAACCGAGGCGCGGTTTGTGTGTCCCCACAGGAAAAGGAACCACTGTGGGTACCGGAGCGATTGATAAGAAAGACTCCAAGCCCCACAAAGGAAGAAAAAGGAGAAGGGGACCATAATGCTAAGGACCAACTTGACAACGCAGAAGGAGAACAATGACACCCTAGCCAAGGCACCGAACCACCTACTGCTGGGTGTGGTAATGTATACTCTGGTATTCCTCTTTGGGGTCTGCCTGGGACGGAGCGCCTTCTTGTTTGCTCATGCACCGCGCCCTGTCAACTGGCATAAAATATGCCTGGCGGTACTACTGCTGATTAACGGTGCTTATGCTGAAATAGTATGGGGGGCTACATCCCCCAGCCCTGTCCATTGTTTCAGTTACATCTCCAACCCTCCCGCAAACCTATGCCCACAACTGTACAGCTAGATTGCCATGCCTTCCTGATGCCCCGATTACTTCCCATGAGTTCAATATCACTGTGCCCCTCTCTAATGATATGGTGGTTTTCTCCACCTTTAAGCCCCCAAATGCTTCCTCGCTGCCCAACTGGATCATGTTTACTGAGGAAAGCATCAGTTGGGGACCGAGAAAGACAGGTGCCTCTGGATGGCATCCTTCTTCCCCGAGGAGATGAGTGATGGAGTCAATGACGGGTAAGGCGGGAGGGGCTCTCCCGACCAACCTAAGACAGACCCCACTCTATTAGGGTCCTCTCATGGAGCTAAGTTGTTGGCATTGAGATGCGAGACCAAGGGTACTGCAGTGCCACCCGCCCCAAAGCTGGGGGGAAGGCAGGAATGAATGTCTATATGCATCCAGGTTCGGTTCACAAAAGCCTGGCCCTGCGAAAAAATGAACCACTCACCTCAAGCATGGTCCTAGCGCGAGGATATGCATCGAAATGAGGTGATGCACAGCAGGGTATAGACCTCTACATTCTCTCATGCCGTGGCCTACAAAGTAGGCCCACTCCCAGGTATCTAACAACATCATACCTTGGAGGGACCCTTAGATCCACCGCCTTTAATAAAGAAAAAAGGGGGAGATGTCGGGAGCCGAGCCAGAGGACCTGCCTAAGCAGATGAGGCCTGTAGGAAAGAGCGAAGCCTTCAGTAGATTACCCCTCCCATCGAATGATGCCAAGATGGCGCCCGTTTCCTACTTCTGTATTCTTACCCTCAGCTTCTGCCTAGTTACAGCTGATGTCCCCCAATCAGACTTTGCCACGCCTTGTTACCCTATAGGACAGGACTATAGATATAAGGACAGAGCAGGAGGTAGAGAGAAGAGAAGACACGCAGACCATAGAGAGTGGAGGACTACGCGGGGTTACTCAACAGAGAGAGCCCCACTGGAGAGTCCGATCAGGGAGGAACGTTCCGGGGACGACCTGTGTGGAGAGTCAATAAACGCGACCTCTGTCTCTGCATTCTGGTGTGTCGTGTGAGTCAGTTCCCCTGCCGGTCGGGGGTTCAGAGGCCGCGCGGCGCAGTACCCAAAGGCTGGGACATCATATCTAGCCATCCCAGTGCCTGATGAGAACCAAAGTGCAGAGCAAATATCAAGAGAACCCAACTCCCAATCAAAAGTCACCAATCAGCAGATTGGATTTAAAAATGAAATACTATATACTGCCTTCAGGAGACACACCTCATCCAACAGGAAGCTTATAGGGGCCAGAAAGGACAGTGATGGGGCACTTGCCTGGTACATGTGAGGCCCTGAGTGTGAGTCCCAGCACTGCAAAAAACAAAAAACTAAAACTAAAAGTAGAGCCCAGACTCAAGGCAAAAGGATGGAAAATAACACTGCATTCAAACAGAGCCCAAAAGCAAGCAGGAGTAGCTATCTTTTTTGCAGATACAGCAAAAAAACTGATTAGAAAAGACAAAGATGTCCACTAAAGAGTGGAGAAAGGATATCAGATGTGGTGGTGCATGCCTGTAATCTCAGAACTCAGAAGGCTGAGGCAGGAGGATTGCTGTGAGTTTGAGGCCAGCCTGGGCTACATAGTAAGTTCAAGGCCAGCCTAAACTGCATAGTGAGACCCTGTCTCCAAAAAACCAAAAAAAAGGCTGGGAAAAGAAACAGTTCAACAGGAAGACATAAAAATTGGAAGCATCTATGCACAAACTGTCAGCACACCCAACTTCATAAAATAAAAACTACTAGATTGACAGATAGAAGTACAGTCACAGTCAGGGACTTCAATACCTGACTCTTACAATTAGACAGGCCAACAAGATCCAAAAAGTCAGCAAAGAAAGCTCCAAGTTAAACCACACCATTGAACAAAAGTATTGAACAGACAGCTCTGAAGAATTTCATGCAACAGCAGAATTTTTCTCACTAGCACATGGAACATTTTTCCAAACTGGAACATATCTTAAGCCATAAAGCAAACCTTAAATAAATATAAAAGAATTGAAATAACCCCTGCATTCTAATGGGTCATAGTGGAATGAAGCTAGAAATCACCAGCAAAAGCCACTGGAGCTATGCAAACCAATGGAGATGAAATAATACATTACTTAATAATCAGTGATTCACAGAAGAAATCAAAGAAAAGACAAAAGACTTCCTAGAACCAAATGATAATGGAAGTACAGCAAAGCAAAAGCAATGGGATACAATGAAAGTGATTCTGAAAGGAAGATTATAGCCATAAATGTGCACATAAAAATATAAAAGTGATCCCAAATAAAGAAGCTAATGAGGCATCTCAAGCTCCTAAGGAAAAAAGAACCCACATCTGAAACCAATAGAAAGAAAGAAATGTAAAGATCAGACCAAAAAGTTAGTGGAGTTGAGACAAAAATAACTCAAGGTCTCAATGAATGGGAGAGCTGGTTCTTTTGGAGGATGTGGTGGGGCCTGGGATGAAGAGAGATGAAGAGAGCAAGAAAAGACATAAAAAGAAGCAAGGTGCTACCTATCTGCGAACCGATTCCCCCACAATGAGTGTACGTACTACGCATTACAAATGTGTACTAAAATGAAATTGAGAAAAAATTACAAGGAGAGAGGGTCTGGGAGGGAAGAAATAACTTCAAGCACAAAAGTGGAGAAGGAGGACAGTTGTCTCCCAGGTCCATCGTGAGCGTCATCTGCTGAACTCACATCGTCACTGATTCCCCCAGCATCTCGGGTAAGGGTATAGATTCACACACACACACACACACACACACACACACACACACACACACCGGTGCAGAGGAACAGGCGTGCTGACCTTGTTTAGCAAGCTGGTGAGGCAGGAAATAAGGGCTCTCAGCCTTTTGTTCCCACCCTCCTGAGCCGGGTGGGTACCAGGCTCAGCTCCTGTAGTGACCAGCTGCAGCTCTTGACGTTCAGTGGCGGAGGAGGGAATGGTGAGAGGGTGAGAAAATAAAGAGACAGAGCCGGGGTCAGGTGGAGCCTTTACCCTCCTGATGGGAGAGAAGGAACTGCTCAGCCACTGCAGCACGTTTGTATATACACTCAACTTGTCTGCCAGGCTGGCCCGGGCCCCTTCTTGGAGCCGCCACAGCTTGTCAACGTGGCTTGCCCTGGGCTCTCTGTTTTCAGGGCCCCACACGTGTGATCAATCTCCAGCTTCAATGGCTCCCTACAAACTCCTGTTGTCCCCAAGAATTTTTGGAAGAACCAGCAAAAAATTCTCCCCTTTCTCCAGCTGGAGTGCGATGCCAATAAGAGGGGCTCGGGGCCAGCGCCCAGGCACTGGACTCGCTATTCAAGCACGTGAGGCTCGAGGTCCCTCGAAAACGTGGCCAACAGTGCGCCAGTGCTCTGAGCGCCCGGGTCTCACAGGGCCAGGGAGGTCAGAGGCCGTGGCTTCAGCACCACCGCGTGGACAGCGCCCTGCCAGCGAGGAAGCCGGAAAAGCGTGTGCAGGGTGCGCGCATCTCTGCAGCCCACGTCAGCTCCCACCTCCACGCGTGAGTGTGTCGACTTCCGCGCTTGTGTCCCTGAGTGACCACATCTGCCCATCGTCATCGCGGAGGCAAGGCTAGACCCCCGAGATGCCCCGGCCCCGAGGGCCGCAGAGCCTCTGGTGAGACCAGCGACCCGAGGTCATGATCTGTTCACTCTGCCGTTCAGACCCCGGAGACGCCCGCAGGACGCCTCAGCGAAGTAGTCTTCCACTCGGCCTTGGTCAGGAGAAGTCACCGGCGCCTGCTGTGCGCCGGGCTCAGGCCCACCTGGAGGGAGGCAGCACAGGAAGCCCGGATCCAGGTCTTCCCGCCCCAACCGGCACCGAGGTCACCGGGACCCCTGCAGGACGCGCCCCCTCTCCTCGATCTCCCTTCCCGCCCTCAGCCGGGCGCGTGGTGCACGCCTGTCCTCTCAGCGCTCGGGAGCCTGAGGCAGGAGGATCGCTGAGAGTTCAAGACCAGCCTGGGCTCCACAATGAGCCCAAGACCAGCCCAAACTGCATAGCGAGACCCTGTGTCAAAACAAAACAGGACGCCGGGCCGCACTCTCGGACACTCCTCCTCCCTCCACGTTTGCTCCTGGCTTCCCGCTAGCAAGGGACGCCCTGGAAGTTGCTGCCAGAGCTGAACGCGCACGGCCACCGGCTGAGGCTCGGCCACAGCCAGACCCGCACCGCCCTCCAAGAGCGGATAATGCCACACTGCCCGGCCGGAGACAGGGACACAGCTGGAGCTGGGCAGGGACGGGAACGGGCTCCTACTGAGAGCAGCGGAGCCTTTAAGGGGCGTGGTCTGGTTGGCGGACTGACGTCACGAGGCGTGGCCTGCAGGGAACGCTGGGACTCTGGCGCTTCTGTATCCTTCGCTTCCGGGTCTCAGCGAGTTGAGTGTGTTTCTCCCGCTGCCACGCGGCTGCTCCGTTGCACTCAGCCCTCCCGCGGGCTCGGAGCCCGGGGCACACGAGGAGGCGTTTCCATCGCGTGACACTGGCAGCTGGGCAGGCTGGACTCGGGGCCTAGACAGCACCGTAGAGTACATAGTATCTTAATAGTGTATGTGTGTGTATATTAACTTCTGTGTGCCGTATGCATGTAACATGTGAGTACTGTATGTGTTGCGTCCCTGTGTTCTGGAGCACACGCTGTGTATATAACATGGCTTATACTTGTTGTATAAACGTATGATCTCGCGGGTCTGCAGGGCCCAGTGCACACCAGACAACTGCCCTGCCACTCACTGTGTCCCGCAGCCCTCAGAAATAAGACTTTTGAGCGTGTCTACGCTTTTTTTTTTTTTTTTTTTTTTTTTTTTTTTTTTGTATTTTTGAGACGGGGTCTCGCCATGCAATTCAGGCTGGCCTTGACCTCACTTTATAGCCCAGGCTGTCTCCAACTCGCAAGGATTCTCCTGCCTCAGCCTCCCCAGTGCTGGGATTACAGGCATGAGCCACCACGCCCGGCTTGTCTATGCTTTTAAAGAAAAGAAAGAGACAAGATTTCGCATCTTCTCCTCCCAGAAGGCAGAGGAAGAAGCTGACCCACCCACAGGGGTCGGGTCCTCCCCCAGCTCACGCTCCCCGTGTCCTCCCACATCCCCCAGGTGAGTGCAGACCCCAGGGCCTGGCTCCCTGGCTGTTAATTGATGATGGGACACAGAAGGAGGTGATAGCAGCCGTGTGATGCAGTTACACGCCTGGGGACCTCTGCCCTGTGGCATGATTTTCAGCGACCCCTGAGGTAACAGGAAGCATGGACACCAGCAGCTCTAGTGCTCAGACCTGCAGGACCCTGGAACTGGTGGACCTCGGCTGAGGAGGAGGCAGAGGAGCTGGGGCTCCACAGGACACTGCCAAGAATCCGAGGCTGGGAGCGGAGGCTCAGACCCTGCCCAGAGCCCAGTGGGCTTCCGATTATCTGCTTAATTGAAGTGAAACACACGAGGTCAGCCGACAAGGACCTGTATGTCCTTGTATGTGGTGCTCAGGCTTAGGGACTGTCCCCGGGCCTTTTTTGTATTTTTACTTTGAGACATAGTCTTGCTAAGTCTGAGTTGCCGGAGCTGGACTCCCACTTGACATCCTCCTGCCTCTGTCTCCCAGAATGCTGGCATCAGGTGAGCACCACCATGCCAGGCTGAGGATCAAATAGGCTTTTTGTTAATACATTACCTACTGTTATATCTTTGAAGTAGTTCAGATTACAAAACATAAGCATGAAAAAAGGATCAAACAACTGCACAGTGAAAGCACAAACTCCTTTTTGATGAGCTAACAGATTGGTAGTATAGTTAGCTATCTTGTGAATGTGTATATACAGACATATAATCTTTTCCCTTCTTTCCCTTGTCTCAATTGTTCTTTCCATTTGAGCAGTTTCTTTCCCTTTTACTTTCACAATATCCATTGTACATTTTGGATCTTCCTTACTCTTCCAGTGTTTTACGCTAGGGAGATTTTTATTTTTAAGGGGAATTACTTTGCCAACCAAGCCCCTGGTCACTCGGTCTTCAGTGACCAAGCTGACAAAGAGCCTGTGCATGAGTTTAAGGGGTTGGAATTACCTTTGCCTCCATTGGGCCCCTGTCCTGGAAGAGAATGGTGAAGATCTAGGGTCACTGCTGGCTGCTGGTTTAGAGATTCATCTCCTCCGGCTTGGATAAAGTCTTCTTTGCTCATCTGATTTTTTTTTTTTAAGTGTCTTGCTATGTAACCCAGGCTGGCCTCAAACTCACAGTGATCTTTCTGCCTCAGCCTCCTGAGTGCTGGGGTGACGGATACCACCATGCCCAGCTCTCATCTAAATTTGAAGGAAATTAAAACATCTTCATGAGCGTTGGTCTCCAGCAGCCAGTGGAGAAAGGGTGCAGGCCCAGCCCCTGTGAAGAGGCTGAGCAGGCTTCACTGGGCCATGAGGAGCCAGCAAGACCAGTGTCTTCTCCCTTCTCACACTCTAGCAAAGGACTTTGGACCCCAAATGCACTTGGCAAGGATGAAAACGTGGAAGGTGTTAACTGGGCTCAGTCATGTTGTCCCAGCACCCCCTTAGCAGGAGGATCCCAAGTTCAATACCAGCCTGAGCAGCTGGAGGTGGAACTCAGTGCAAAGGCCCTGGGTTCTATTCCAAGGACCACACGGTAGAGGAAAAAGTATCTGAAAGTACAAATCCAATTTCACATAGAACACTACATGTCTCTGCTAAGCCCAGGTGGATGGGCACCAGAGGGGCTGAGGGCTGTCCACCCTTAGACGCTTTCCCTCAGAGGTTTCCGGGGCCCTGGGGAGAGGCCACTGCTCTCGGTGTCTGGGCCCAGCTTGTGCCTGGGTGTTGCGCAGCATACTTGATGTGCCCACCAGCATGCAGGACAGCATCCCTGCCCCGTAAACCCTGGCAGGGGCAGCCCCATGCTGACCGAAGAAGCAACTGCAGAGCTGGAGGCCAGCCTGTTCTCCACAGTGAGCCCTACTGCGCACAGCCAGAACCAAAACCAAATAAAGGCCTCTGATCTTTTTTCTTGCTCAGTGCTGGGCTTGGAGCCCGGGGCCTCCTGTGTGCTGGGCTAGGGCTTGGGCCCCACTTCAGCTCGAGTAAGGACCCAAGCCAGGGAGCTGCTGCCTGAGAGGGTGTATGCTGAGCTCATTGCTTAACCCTCAGCTGCTAGGAGGAAGGACTGATGGGTAAACTGAGTCATGGAAGGTTAGACCAAGTCCCGAGTCAAGGGTACAGCTGGGTTGGTGTCCAAACCTTGCTCTGGGGTAGCCTATAGTATATCCTCCCCCCAGGTGCCACTGAAACCCTGTTCCTTCTTGGGGCAACCTCCCCTGCCCGTCTCCAGGTGACCCTGTCTACCCTGGGTGTGGAAGTGCCTTGGGTCCCAGCAGCCTCCAGGTCCAGGCTCTGGGGCGTGGGACCCACAGTCTCCAGTCTCCCATCAAGCCTGTTAGTGAAATCCTTGTTACAAAATAAACCCAAGGTACCAGGTGAGGTGGCACACACCTGTCACCCCTGCACTTGAGAGACTGAGGCAGGAGCATTAAAAAAGTTCTCAAGGCCAGCCTAGGCAACGTGGATACTGTCTCAAAAAAATTTTTTTTTAGATTTAGTAGATTTCAGGGCCTCTGGACAGCTAGGCACATGCAGTTCACAGGCAGTGAGGGGGGTCCCTGCCTGCAGAAGGCATGCGCCCCAGCCCTGCAGGGGTGCCGTCCCGACCCCACCCAATGCTCCTCTGAGTGGTTTCCTGTGTCCTCTCCAGTGATGGGGATGGTGGAGTCCAGGCTTCCCCAAGCTCTGGGCACTGCTGCAGTGGGTAAAGGGATTCAGCTGTGACTGCGCTGGTTTGTACTTCCCCTCGCTGCTGTGCTCTCCCCACTGCTTGGCCTTTGGGGATCCCCATGGCCCATGTCTGTCTCTGAAGCCACCCTCAAGTTCCTGCAGCAGAGAACATGCACAGCTGAGAGGCTCTCGGCAGTGCTCATGGGGCTGGCCTGGGCCGGGTCGGTTGGCTCTGTTTTAAGGCCGTGTCTCTCCGTGATCCCGGCTGGCCTTGGACCCAGGCTGTCTCTTTGGGCTCAATGGCACTGAGCTTGTACTGCCCCAGGAGGCTGCGTTTGCCCAGCTGGCCCACGCCAGTTCCCATCCACAGCTCCCTGGAGGCTGCAGCCCAGGTCTGTAGGTCCTTGTGCTCTTTCTTGTACAAAGCCATCCGTGGGTCCATCCAACCCCTCACCCATTTTTTACTGGCTCACCTGTGCCTCCTTCGCAGGTCCTGACTTTCTCTGGATGCGAAGCTTTGTCCATCCTCCTATGTGTCTGGCTGGATCTCAGACGATTGCCAGCTCCACAACCAGCACCGGCCTTGTCGCGATGGTGTCACGAGTTCAGCATCCTCCCCACCAGCACCTCTCACCTTCCTTTCCCAGGCATTGCTTCCCCTTTGTCACCTGAGAATCGGGAAGGAAGCAGCCTTTCCACAGGGTGTGGATGGAGCCCGGGGACCCAGGCTCTGCGCTGCTCCCATCCCTGGCCAAGCTGCCTGCAAGGCCCCAGCTCCACGCCCTGCACAGAGCACCTCAAAGTGCTGGGCATCTGCACAGAGGGCAGAGGCTGCAACCTCTGCCTGGAGGAGGCGGGAGGTGGGTAAAGATGGGTCTGGCTCCTGCCTATCCTGACCACAGTGAGGAGCCACAGTCAGTCATCAGTAATCACTGTTATTTCTGCTGAGATGGCCTCCATCACCCCTGCTGCCTGGAGGGGCCACTGTGAGGCCAGTGCAGCTGGCACAGAGGTGACATCACCCACCAGGACCTTTGCTGGAGCCCTGTCCTTCCTTCCTGTGGGCAACAGGATACCCAGAGGACAGGGCAAGAGGCTCAGATCAGCACCTCAGACTTCACCCTCGTGGGACTTTTCAGCTGCATGGTTCCTCCCCCAACACCCAGTGACCACCATGTTCCCCATGGGCCTGCTCCTGACCTGGGTGGATCCCAGGCTTCCCACACCCATGCACCTCCTGCCAGGCCACTGCTCCCTGCTGGACCCCAGCTTCCTCTGGTCACCGTCCCCAAGCTCTTGGCTGACTTCCTGCGGGAGGACAACACCATCTCCTTGACCAGCTGCACAGCCTGAATGTCCTCCTCATGCTGCTGGGCATCTCTGAGGGCGTTCTGCTGGCCCTCCTGTCTGGTGCACTTGCTCAGGTGGCTGCATCCCAGCTCCCGGGGGGCGCTAGGGGCCACAGTGCTGTGCTTCCCATTCTGCACCTCACACACCCTGGCCCTCTTCCACCTACTGCAGCTCCCTTTGAGCTGGCACTGTCCATCCCGAGGTACTGACCCAGTGCCACCTCTGTCCCTTGTTACCAACACCTATGGCCTGGTGCTGGGCCCTGAGCTCCACATGGATGTGGTACAGGGCCCTGACCACCTGTTCCTCCTGCACCACGGTGCTGGGGCTCTTCAATGGGGTGGCTGTGCTCATTGATGCACATGGTGCCCCACTCCTGCCACCAACTGGCCAGAATCACTCAGTCACCCAGTGCTGCAGCCTGCAGCCCCTACACTGAACCCCTCATCTACAGCCTAGGAGTAGAGAGGTGCTCAGCCCTGGCCACAGCAGAGCTGGCTTCAGGTCTCAGGGGTCACGGCAGGGGACCCTGGCTGGTTAGAGACCTTCACTCAGAACGGAGTTAGCTCTTGGGGGTGGGTGGCAGGGTGCAGGTTCACTGTGGCCCAGAGGACACAGGAAACAGTCATTCCAGTCACACAAAGACAGGAGGTTTTTTCAGTCTTAAATGGAAGATATTTTCAGTATAAAAATTAAAATCCAAGCAGGGTATAACCCCAGCACTCTAGGAGGCTGAAGCAAGATCACATGTTTAGGCCTATCTGGACCACTTAGAAACTTGAGATCTTGCCTCAAAATTTAAAAAAAATAATAAAAATTTCAGAAGGCTAGCACGGGGGCTGGGCAGTTAGCTCAGTGGTGTAAGTGCCTGCCTGGCACACACAAGGTCATGAGTTCGATCCCTTGTACCAAAAAAAAAAAAGGCTAGCACTGTCACTCAGTGCACTGACCCTGGGGTAAATCGCCATTGCCATCTGTTCACAGGTGAGCTTCAATCGCCTGCTGAAGGCCATGCAGATCAGAAGGAGGGGAACAGGACATGGGCTCCTCTGAGTCCAAGTTCAACAGCTGGAAAGTGACTCCCTAGGGCCCAAAGAAGTGGCATCACCAGGGCAGGGAGGGGTGGCAGCACGGTGAAGATGCCCCCAGCCCCAGCAACCCTGATTGTCCCAGGATGGTCACTCAGATCCCAGGGGACAAGTGAGGCCATGGGAAGTGACTGCCAGCCCCACCTCCCAGCAGGCCGGCTGTTCTCCACTCTGCTCTGCTCAGCTTGTGTTGCCCCCAGAGATCAACTGTGTGCTTTTCTTTCTTTCCCATTATCCATTGTTGGCTTTTGTAGCACAGCTTCCCATTCCTGTTTTATGCATGCGGCTTCTCCTCCATCACTGACACTGTTAGGGAAGGTCCCCTTGAGGTCACAGGTAGATACAGGAAGACAAGACAAAGCTGACCTGTAAATAAGATGGCACTGAGGACTGGGGGCCACGCAGGTGGGGAGCTTGCCTGGGACTGAGGCATGGCTTTGACCCTCAGCACTGTAATAACAACAATAGTAATAGCCCCCTATAGGCACACTTGTTTAGGATGGAAATTCGTATCACGCCTCTGCTGCTTGGAGTTTTTAGCAGGGACATGGGAAGGGTTTGTGCTGTTCTGCTCACCTGCGGGATCAAGACTTGATGATCCTAAGTCTTTCCTGTCATTCCACTGGACTTCGGTCCTTAGACTTCCCAAATCCAACAACACCACTGCACCTACAATAAGTAGGTTTCAAATTTAAAAACAAACGCACTCAAGAAGCCAAGGCAAGAGGGTCCCAAATCCAAAGCCAGCCTGGGCAAATGGTAACCAGCACTGAGGTGGACAACTCATCCAGCACAGAAAGGAAGGTAGAGACTCTCTCCCAAACACAAAAACAAAAAAGAAGGAGGTAAAAAAGCAGATTTGGGGAGAAGATTGATGCCCAGCAAACCAGGGCAGAGGCTCCACAGGAGAGGTCTGTGAGTGCTCACACCTCTAAGTCTGAAATGTTTCACAGTGCAAAAACAGAAGCACTAGTATCACAGAGATGGGTGAGGAGAAACTCACCAATCATGTGGTCTGTGTGGGCCCCCCATGTGTCTACCAGATGAACGGGCATGGTGGCACATGCCTGTAACCCAAGCAGTTAGGAGACTGAGGCAGGATTGCCTCAAGTTCAAGGACAGCCTGGGCTACATATGGAGACCCTGGCTGGAAAACACAAAGAAAGGCCTGGGGTTTGGCTTAGCAACGTAAGTGCCTGCTTTGCAAACATGGGGTCGTGAGTTCAACCCCTGGTACCAAAAAACACTCACACCAAGAAGAAAGAGAAAGAAAGGGAAAATATTTACACACAATGGAGTGCTACTGTGCCATGAAGAAGGATAAACGTGAGTCACCTGCAGGACAATGGGTGTACCTCGGGACCATGATATTAAGTGAAATAAATTAGGCACACAAGCTGAGATTTCACATGCTCTCACTTACATGCAAGAGCCAAAATATAAATAAAGAGCAAAGTAAAAGACACACAATAAAGGAAAGACGACTGAGAGATGGGAGGAGGGGAGGAGGCGGGGAGGGGGGAAGGGGTGCATCCTGAGCGTGTCCAGCTCCACCCAAGGCACGCCGTCATTGTGCGCTGTAAACATGCACTAATAAAAACTTTAAATAAAATAGAGTATGTATCTACTGCACCCAACAAACCCGGGAGTAAATAACACGGGCAGAGGTCGCTGGGCAAGGCGGGGTGTGCAGGAGGGGGTGGCCGCGGAGCTGAGCTGGAAAGCGCCGCGCGACGGGATGTTCCTTGATTTCCCTCAAACCACTGTGTCCGGCTGTTCGGGCGGGTTTCCAGGCGAGGCCGCCAGGGGGCGCGAGCGCCTCGCAGCCAGGGGAGCGCAGTCGCCCATCCTCCCTCTGACCTGGGCGTCAGGGCTGGACACTTTCCCGATGCCCGCGGCCAATGTTTGCCTGCCTGTTCGTCCGTCCGTCCGTCTGTCTGTCTATTTTGAAGCAGTGCTTCACTGTGTCGCTCAGGCTGGCTTCAAAGCCCTAGGCTCAAGCAGTACTCCTGCCTCAGCCTCATTCCCAAGTAGCTGGGAATACAAGGACTCAGCACTGTGCCTGGAATTTGTTTATGTATTTATTTAGTTATTTATGTATTTCTTTTCCTTTCTTCTGGACAGGAGTCTCACCGAGTAGCTAAACTAGCCAGGCAACGCTTGAACTTATAACCCTCCTGCCTCAGCCTCCTGTCTGAGCCCGGCTTGGTGACAGCCTTCAGAGTCTGAAGGAGGCTGACGGGGTCACAGGATGAGGGGCAGGGAGGATGCAGGAGTCTAACACCAGTGACTGACAGCCCCCTTCCCCCAAGGTGTCCCATTAATTCTTCAGTTCACTGATCATAAACCCAGGTTCAACCCTGCAGGGAGGCAGAACCCTCAGCTCTTCTCAAAGATGGCACCTGATCCCACCTGCCAACCAGTCACAGTGGGAAGCCAGGCACAGTGGCCTCCACCCAAAGGCCCCGACACTCAGGAGGCTGAGGCAGGAAGATCTCTTATGCCCAGGAGGCCAGCCCCTGCAACACGGTGAGTCCCAGGCTAAAAGGACCGCGTAAGATGAAATAGTCTGCATCTGAGATATGACATCTTGTCAAAGGGGTTTGTTGTGAACTGGATTTGGGGGGCCTCCCCACATTCCAACCACCCAGCTGCTGCTCCACCTGATCCCGTTGCCGAAGCCAACGCAGCACCAATCTCCTGTCCCAGCCAGCACACTGTGTCAGGGCAGCCCGGCCTACCGGAACCCGGAACCGTTAGTGGCTGGAGGAATCGGGATCCCAGGCCGGGCGGAGCGGGCGGGGCAGGGGCCCAGGCCGTGCACTGCGCTAGTGGCAGCGCCCTCGGCGCGGGCTACCGCGCACATGGGGACGGTGCCAACCGGCAGGCACGCCACATCCTGGACGAAGATAAGAAGTCACTGCGGGGAGAGGAGGGAGCCCTGGGGACGCAGGAGGCGCGGTCCTGGCAGGAGCACACAGTCAGCGGAGTCCTAATGGGACCGGGGAGCGCTGTGCTGTGCGGCCCGAGACCCTGGAGTGGGAAAGGGAAGCCGGGCCTGGGACAGGATCCACGCCAGCAATGCAGGGAACCGGCGCGGCCTGGGAAAGCGCGCCCAGCACCTGCGGCCGCCGAGAACTCCTGGACTGGTGACCCCGGTAATGCGGGGACCTCACACCTCCCAACCTGCCTGTGCCCCAAGTAGACAGTGAATTCTAAGGAACAGCAGAGGTCATGAGCGGGGACCCTGACTTAAGGGAGGCGGCTCCGGAGCCTCGGGGAGGGCGAGTGGGTCACCCGGAGCCCCCTGGAGCGCACTTCCGAGCAGGCGCCAGGTGGGGCGCAGCTGCGCTGGGAGACAAGACTCCAGGCCCAGCGCTGAGGGAGGGACAGGAGGACCTCACTTTGGAAGGGATGAGTTAGGAGGTCCCAGTCACAAACCGGGGTGACCGATGTCTCTGCGACTGCACCGGGCCAGGTGTCACCACTTACCCCTGGGGGGCAAGTGAGCCTGGTTCTTCTATCCTAGTCCCGAGGCCTGGCCCCCAGCAACGCCACAGTGCTGTGTTCACATCCCCCACAGGTCTCCCTGGAGGGCTCGGCCCTCTGAACACTGGTCATATTTCTACCTAATTTAGCTGTCAACGATGTAGCAATGTGAGAGGCTGAAGCAGGAGGAACCCAAGTTACAGCTCACCTTGGGCAACTCAGTGACTTGGCAAAACTCTATCTCAAAGCAAAATAAATGACAAGGGCGAGGGACACAGCTCAGCATGGGTCCCCAGGCCCTGTGTCCAGGGCTGGGGACCCAGTATATGGGGCTCAGGGCAGGTGGAGAGGGTTCTGTGCCCTCAGAGGGGACAGCAGGGGACACGGTGACCCTGCCCAGAGAAGGAGGTGGGTCTGTGGCACTCACCCTCCAGAGAGCAGCTCCCTGAGTCACTGAGCAGCCCAGGCTAGACTTGGACGTGGGATCCTCCTGCCTCAGCCTTCCAGAGTGCTGGGATGACAGGTACAAGCCACTGAGCCCAGATTTTTGTTCCACAATTCTTAGGTTAGACAGGACATGGAGACTCACACCTGTTGGGACTAGATGTTCTGTTTCCTTGCACCACAGGGGACAAAGCCCAGTGTGTGTGTGTGTGTGTGTGTGTGTGTGTGTGTGTGCCAGTGTGTGTTCATGTGTACCTGTTCAGGACAGTGTGAGCCTCAAGCAAGCAAACAAAGCCAGGCATGGTGGCGCACGCCTGTCATCCCAGCACTTGGGAGGCTGAGGCAGGAGAATCACTGTGAGTTTGAGTGCACTGACGGCCAGCCTGAACTGTGTAGCAAGACCCTGTCTCAAAAAGACAGTGGATTTTTTAAAAGGAAAGAAAGCACAGAAAACGAGGCTGCACTCACCCTCCTGGGTCCCCTCAAGCCCTGTCCCTCCCTGCCCCTCCACATCACTCTCCTCTGTGTCTGTGCTCCTGGAACCCACTCTGTGGCCTCCTCCTATCACTTGTGTCCTGCTCAGCTGTCCCCCTACCAGGGTCTGTCTGCACCCCCTTGCTCCCTGCCACCCACCGCCCGCAGTGTCCAGCCTCAACAGTGCTTGTCTGTCCCCACCCAGGGGTCCCAGGCAGGGGCCTAGCCCTCTCATCTCTGGCGCTGACCTCCTCTCTGCAACCTCCTTCCCAAGCACAGATGCTGGGCGCCCGCATCACCTCAGGTGGGCACAGCTGGGGGAGGGGAGGGCACCCCACAGAGAAAGCCCCAAACTAGCCAAAGTCAGCATCTGGGAGGGGCAACCTGTCCCCCCGGATGCCAGGGACAGTGATGGAATTTGTGCTTTTATGCTCCACTCGGGATGCTTGTGCGCACAGCTTTCCACAGCGAAGTTCCGCCTGCCTAGAATCCTGTTCCTCTGGGTTTTCCCGTGCTGCTCAGGGAGGGCTAGTTCTTGGTGCTGGGAATTAACCCACCGCCACCACTGAGCTACATCTCCAGCCCTCCTTTGTATTTTGTCTTTTAATTTTGAGACAGTGTCTTGCTAAGGGGCTCAGGCTGGATTTAAGCCTGAGCTGCTCCTGCCTCAGCCTCCTGAGCAGCAGGGATGACTGGCATGTGCGCACCTTTTCATTTGTCCTCAGAGGTCCAGAGGGGCCAGCAGTGTCCCTCCACTGTGAGCTGGCCTTCATGGCCTTCTCACAGTCCTGTCCCAACTGGGCCACCCTGAGGTTCCCAGTGAGCAGTCAATGAAGGGTGACAGCAAACCAGTTGGGTTGCAGCCAGACAGGTCCAGACACACCTGGATGACGCAGCCTGGGAGGTGGAGGAGGCCTGGGGAGCAGCTGTGACTCCAGGGCTCGGGTGTGAGCCTCAGGAGAGCAGAGCCACTCAGGCACTGCCTGAGCTGAGTCATGGTGCCTGCAATCCTGGATCTCCTGGGTCCCAGAGCTACTCACCTGCTCCTGGATTGAACCTCACACCAGGCTCCATAAACACCACCCACGTCGTGGGCCCTGGAAAGTTCCTGGGGGCTTTGGAGGGGGCTTTTGGGGTTTTTTTTTTTAGTTTTTTGAAACAGGGTCTTGCTAAGTTCCCAAACTTCCCAGGCCATCCTCCTGCCTCAGCTTCCCTAGTGCTGGGATCACTGGTGTGTGCCACCATGCCTGGTCATCAATGGACAGCTTTTGGCAGGATTTGCATCCAATATTTACAGCACCTTTTACCTTAAGCTACCTATATTTTTGTCTTATAATTTTTGTTTTTTCATTCCAAAAATGCAAACATGGTCCACCTCACGGTAAGCAGCAGATCTGTTGCAGGCTTCCCTGGTCAGTCCTGCGCAACCCACTGCGGACCCCTCCCTCGCATCCTCCTGCCAGTGCACAGCGTCCCAGCCTGGGGTGCCCCTGAGGTCCCTCGCACACTGATCACCAACATGGAAGCCACCACACGTGCCACCCCGAGTGAGGGAACCAGCAGCAGCCTGGGGATAGGAGGGTGAGGTCCCGGCGCTGTGCCAGGGGTGTAGTGGCTGCACGCACCATGACTTGGCAGGACCACAGGAAGCCCCACGGATGTTCCTGCCACCATCACCCAGGTTCCCAGCAGCTCAAGGCTGAGTCACACCTTGCTTTTGATCAGTGATTAACTTAACGCCATGCTTCTGTGGAGGATCCTTTCCAGCCTGTGTGGAACATTCCTGGGCTTCACCCCAGTGTACACTGAGAAGACGCCAGTCCTGGCCTGCAGCAGAAACCATGGAAGACGGTGTCACCCACCTGGACAGAGAGGGGTCAAGGCTGCAGGGGGCTGGATGGAAGAAGGAATTCTGTCATCAAGGGAAGCAGCATCGCAATTGGCGTTCTTCTCTGAGCCAAGGGTTCCCATGTAGTTGGCACTGACGTGTTGTAGTCAGGGGTTGCAAGGAGAACA